CCTTGTTGTCTCTGGTTGGGGCACCTGCGGCACAGGCCCTCTCAGCAGCTGACTCCTGGCTTGAAAGAGGTTCTTCTATCCTTTTTCCATCCACAGGGATAGAGCACGCACTGCAGCTGGCTTTTATAGCAAACCCTAATCTGTGTCCATCAGGACGCTTCTTAAACCTGGATCTGTCCATATAGTGTTTGGGGTCTTTCTGGTTCAGCTGTAGGGTAGTTATTCAATTTGAAGTAGTTCACGTCATTTATGTGATTAGCATTAATCATAAAATGCTCAGTCAGTATTAAATATGTGAAGCTAAACAGTAAACAGCATCATCCTCTTTGTGGGCACCGTTACCTGCGCATCACACTGTGCGTTCTAGTCTACAGGAGTGGCTCAGCTGAGGGCAGTGTTGCCCCAAGGGACATGGGACAGAGTTTGGTGACACATTGGTTGTCAGTGGAGGGGAAGGAGTTCCTTGCATGCAGCAGGCAGGGCCCAGGAATGCCACTGAACACCCTGCAGCACGCAGGACGCCCCACCACAAGGAGGATCTGACGCACATGCCAGCGGGGCCGAGGCCCAGAGGCCTTTGAGGCAAAGTCTAGAAAACACATCCTGTCTCAGTTTAATGAATGAGCACTCCACAGATGTCCCCACATGCTAGGCCCTTTCAGACAAATAGGATTAGGGGCTACTTCACTGAAAATATTTTTAGTTAAGGTTTAAACTGGAATCGAGCTATAAGGTGAGAATTCCGTGGGAAAGAGCGTGTTGGGTGAATGAACCCTCTCATTTTTTTTGTTTTTCAGGATGCAATCTTACAAATACAGAAGTATTCAATGAATAATTTAGTTGTTTCTACCATATTTACGACACAGGTAGATTATGTTCCTTCCCAAGTTTCACATTTTTATTTTCTTGGCACTGTGAGTGCTCAGGAACACAATGCTGTCAATTCTGGTAGAACGAATGTGCTGTTACTTCATAATATCTACTTTATAAAATAGCTCGGGTTTGGTACGCTCTTGGCTCCTGTCAAATCTGGAGCCGTAGCTAGAGAATGACAAGCGCTTACAGACCCAAATCTTTAAAAATATAGTGTTTAGTAAAGGGAATGCTATTGGCTCTTGATTTTTTTTTTTTATAAAGTTTGTGAATTGTTATCTTAATGTTAACAGAATTTTTTTCCCTAAGTGAAAAGTCTTCAAGTTTCTAAAAGTAATAAAATTGTCCAAATGAAAGCATAATATATATTTAGAAACTTTAATTGTGACATTTTGATAGGTTAAAAAATTGTCTTGGAATCCAGATATATGTATATATTTTATGTTTTTTATATAATTTTAAGCTCTTAGTAGGGAAACTATTTCCTGAATTCTGAAATTAGTTCTTGAATGAGTTGACAGAATCTTCTAGATGCATTCACTGGAGCTTTTAACCTGAAATTTTTTCTGGTCCCCTTTTGATTTGTTTAAATTTTACATTGAACATAAAAAGTTACTTAAAAAATAGCATCGCATGGTAAGTCAGCTTTTAAATTTGACATGTCCTAGTTAAGTTGTGTGCATTGTATCTGAAAATTACCAGTTCAGGATGTTTACTGCTATTATGGCTTCATAAGAGTTCACTACATCGCAGGTTGCTTTCACAGAAAGTAGAAACAGACTGGACCAGTTATATTTGAATAAATGAACCTGGTAAGGGAATGTGGAGTTAGAGAGGCCTTGCTGGCCAGGCCTGCCCCCTGACCCCCAGTGACTGAGGCCAGTGCTGGAAGGCGGAACGGCCAGTCCTGTAGGTCCCATGTCTGGTCATGTCATTGCCCGAGGCAAGCGGCATGGCTACCAACATAGCCAATGTGAAAGAAACCAGGGAGGTTTCCAGTGTAACATTTTTCCATCTTCACATTATTAAGTATCTAAATATGGGATCATCTAACTGAATCTTAGTTTTCCTCTGATAAAACAGTGCAATGGTATTGCTAGCGTCACATTAACTTAATGTGA